CATTCCTCGTCGCCGTCACCTCGGCCAGGCGAGTCAGTGAACTCCTGGCTTTCCGGCATGATTCACCATACTTGTCCTTCCTCCCGGATGGTGCCCGCCTGGTGCCGGACATTTCATTCTTGCCCAAGGTGGTCTCTGAATTCCATCTGTAGTCGGAAGTCTTCCTCCCTGATTTTTATCCTGACCCAAAATCACAGGAAGACAGACTTATGCACACTCTAGACGTGAAGCGGGCCCTCCTCTTTTACCTGAGTAGGACACGCTTCACCAGGCAAACCTCTAAGCTGTTTGTCTCATACGCTACACCCCGTGTGGGCACTCCAATCACTGCCCAACGTCTATCCAAGTGGATCGTAGGTCTGATACAACTGTGTTACCTACTGGCGAAACAGCCGTTGCCAGGCCCAGTACGGGCTCATTCCACCAGTGCTGTCGTTACATCCACTGCATTCTTGAAGGGAGTACAGCTGCAAGACATTTGCAGAGCCGCAACCTGGGCCACGCCTAATACCTCTATCAGGCACTACGCCCTAGACGTCCGCCAGTCCACCAGTGACAGTCTGGGACGTCAGGTTTTATCATCGGCTAAGCAGTAAACACCTGACAGCACCCGCCTCCAGGTAAACTACTGCTCGCTAATCTCCCATTGGTGTGAAGCACAGAGACCACGAAGAAGATAAACAGGTTGCTTACCAGTAACTGGTGATCTTCGAGTGGTCATCTGTGCATTCACACCACCCGCCCTCCTGCCCCGCTGCTGTCTTCTTCTACCTGTTTTGTTAGGAGATTGATACGCGGCGGTTGGAAGGAACTGGCGGGATGTCCGTGCCTGCCCTTCTGGGCATGCTCACTGGGGCTCCTGAGCATGCTCAGTTGGGCCAGGCACGAAAATCCTTTCAAGAGAGCTTGCTAGGCACCGGCAGATCCAGCGCAGGCGCACTAGATCCCATTGGTGTGAATGCACAGATGACCACTCGAAGATCACCAGTTACTGGTAAGCAACCTGTTTTTATACCTCTGGGGATGCCAGTCACAGCTGCTGGTGAAAAGTCAGGTACTACAATGCCAAGACCACAGCCATACAGCCCGGAAAATCTACAACAAATAAATGCCATGGCAACATAGTAGATAATGCTGGGATTTTAGGAAGAAGAGTTAGATGAATAATGAAAGGCAAAAGGCATCCAAAGAATCTCCCTTATATATAAAAGCGGAATGGTGGTGGCACTTCTCTAGAACATTCCACACGCTCCGGAATTGGTTGGGGCCCTGGTGTGTCACTCAGAATCTGTCCCTATCCACTGGCTGCATTGCTTGAGTCTTGCCTCCAACATTCTAAACATTTTGCTGTTCCTCCCCCCCCCCATAGCCAGTCAGAACACAGAGGTTATTTGCATATGCAGCCTCATTGGCCCTTGCCTCGGAAAACAGAGGTTGTTTGCGTTTGCGACTTGATTGGCTTTTGCCTCTAACATTCTAAACAGTTTGCTGTTCTGAGGTAAAATGTGTCCAATCTCCAGGTGAGGGCTGGAGATCACTCAGAATTACAACTGCTTTCCAGATGGCAGAGATCAGTTCCCCTGGAGAAAATGGTGGGCTCTGTATCCTTATATGCTGCTGAGATGGCCCCCGTATGACAGCCAATGTGACGTAGCAGTCAGGGCTTCAGAGCACGGGGGAGGCTGCAGGTGTGTGGGGGGTGGAAAGCTGAAGAGGGGAAAATAAAGGTAGGTTGATGATTGGCTGGGAAGGAGATAGGGTTACCAACTCCAGGTGGGAAATTCCTGGAGATGTGAGGGATGGAGCCTGGAGAGGGTGAGGTTTCAGGAGGCATGGGACCTTGGGCAGGTACAGGGTGCGTTCAGACAGGGGCTTTACATCAGTTAGGGTTCCGGTTGCAACCGGTGTACTCACCGGCGTTCACACGATGAACATCTGCCTCCTGTCCCTAACCGGTGTAAAGCCCTTTACACCGTTGCACTCTGCCACTAGGTCCCAAGTGGTGGTAAACTGAGTGCAACGGTTGTAAACGGTGCACCCCGGCATCTGATCGCTCTCCAACGTTGCAGAGACACTTCCGTCGGAAGCCTGAGGCTTCCAGCTTCCCCCCGCCATTTTTTAAAGTAAGCGATATGCGCTCGGGCGAAGCTTCACCCCGAGCGTTTGTTAAGGGGGGGGGAAGCCCTTAGTTTAACTTCCCGGAGGAGTCCGGGACTACAGGGAGGCCAGGTTGGGCTTTAAACTTTAAAGGTAATTCCTTACCTTTAAAGTTTAAATGTAATGGGGGGGTTGAGCATGCGCAAAAATCGCCATTCTGTGAATGGCTGCCTATGCGCATGCTCAAACTGTGCTTTAAAAAAAAAAAAAACCGCCGACGCCCACAGCGTGTGAGCAGGCGTCCACCGGAGGGATCTGGAAGATGGAGGTAAGTGTGATCGTGTTTATGCCGGCAGAAACGCCCCGTCTGAACGCACCCACAAAGCCATAGACTCCAACCTCCAAACCAACCATTCCCTTCTGGGGAACCATCATTGCCAAACTCCAGGTGAGGGCTGGAGATTACTCAAAATTACAACTGTTTAGGTAGCAGAGATCAGTTCCTCTGGAGAAAATGGTGGACTCAGTGTCATTATACCCTGTTGAGATTGCCACAGCAAATTGACACTGAGTGTTCAAGGCCGGGGCACCCGCCCAGAGCCTCTTTCTAGAGATAGTTGTATTTATTTCCACAATGGGCCTTTTTCCTAGTTACATATATTCTAAATTTCCACATATATGAATGCTATTATGTTAGGAGTTGGCTAATAGATATTTTATGACTAAAAACTGCATGATACTTTTATATTTTTTAGACATGGGATGTTGCTTTAGCTAGAACAGCAAGAGCATGGGCACACAAGTGCATTTTTGAACATAGTCCATATACCAATAGCCATCCTGATCGTAAATATTGGCCCATTGGAGAAAATATATGGATTGGAAATGCTGTGAGAAGACCATTTCATGCTGCTGGTGCCATCAAGGCATGGGATGATGAAGTTCGGTTCTATGATTTTGATACCCACAGATGTACAAGAGTATGTGGTCATTATACACAGGTAGATTTTATCCTATGATTCCTTGTGGAAGTTTAGTAAAAGAAGTATATTAGTTTATCACTGAAACTTAAAAATATGGTCAGCCATAGATGTTCAAGTCAATATGGCTTTAGGATATGGCATAAATCTAGTGAGGCTTCAGGTTTTGATTATTATTTTTTTGCAAACATCTGCCTTTGTAACACAACTGTTGAGTTGGTAGCATCCCTTTGAGTGATTTGAAAGCCATACGTTGAACAAATTACATATGATGTTGGAGAGCTGTGATCACATCCCCTTATATAGAATTTGACTACAGAAAGTCATGGAAGAGGATAAAGATTAGGGTTGTCGTGCTGGACAAGGGAGGATTTTGTTGGTCACCCAAACCACCAAAAAAAATGCCTTTCCCGACACTGCCTGTAGGGAAAAAGGCAGATACACTATTGTGTCTGCCTTTTTACCAAAGCTGAAAGTAGCCAGAGAGGAAGACACTTTAATTGGTGAAATTCATGACAGGAAGGAGTTAGCACCCCACTTTAAATGTTTCAGGATACAATCACTGATCCTCATTATCACAAGTCCTTCAGTACCTGGATTGAGAATAATGAGAATAATGTTCCATAGCTTTATGGTTGCATTAATTATCAGCGCACTTTATTTTATAAAATAAAATCTTTTTTTTTTCCCCCAGGTGGTTTGGGATGCAAGTTATAAGGTTGGCTGTGCAATTGTTTTCTGCTACACATTTGGAAAAAGCACAAATATAGAAAACTTCGTGTGCAACTACGGTCCAGGGTAATTTAACAAGAACATACAATATATTGTCTGAATATTGTTCATGTTCTGTTCTAATACAAAGTATTCTGAAACACAGAATTATGGCTTTTTCAACTGCATTGTCATATGTATTAGTCTTGGATTTTGTAACAGGATTCATAGTTGACTTAATCTCTTTCAGAGCATTTAGAATAGACATCTGCTATGTTAATCAGTAATTACAATGGCTAGGATCCTGTTCAGCCTCAGTGGAATATTGTTGCAGAAGCAAAGTATCTGGATGCTCCACTCCCACTGCAGCCTGCTGTGTTTCCCCCCTCCTAAAGCCCCTGAGGGTCATCAGACCCCCAGGAACAGCATGGGGCAGTAAAAAGTGTGCAAGGGGAGGCAGGATCTGGCAAAAATCACTGCAGTTTTTTCTGCTGGTAGAAGTGCTATCAGCAGAAAACATTGTTAATGCCCATCACGTGTTTATCAGTTAATTCTCTGATCTCAAATATCAAAGCACCATAAACAGTTCTGAAATAACTAAAAAATCAAGAATGTGAGACCATAGACATGTATGCATGGTTTTACTTTCGCACCAGTGCAAGCACATATACTTGGAAGTAGGCTACTAATTTTTAAAGGACTTTCTTTCAAAAAAGGACCTTTTCAGGCCAATACGTAGTACCTAGGAAGAGGCATATGCAATATCTTCAAGTAACCACCATGGACCCACTGTTTTAAAAGAATGAGCTCTGAGAAGCGGCTGGTATCAAACACACTAAATTTAAAACGAATATAGCATTGTTTCAATTATAATGCTTAACTGGACATCAAACATTTTCCTCATAGTTCATTTTGAGGAAGCAAAGCTTCCCTGTATTTGATATATGGTCATGTTTTAAGTGCCTGTAAGTGTAAAGTGCAGACTTTATAACCTACTTGTATTACTTTTCTTTTTAAATCAGATAATTATTATAATAGTATAACTAAAAAATGTAAACTTTAATTTGCATTTTCTTTTAAAAATATTTTTACACCCTAACCAAATATAAGAAATATATTAACAACCAGTTCCTATATGGAGACATTACTTTCTAGATATATTTTCATCTTGGTGTGATTTTCTTTTTATATATTCTTTATGGGGCTGTGGGTTTGTTGTGTTCAACTCAGAACTGGCGGCCAGTGATGTAAAAGATGGGGATTGGGTCGCCCATTACCTACTCTTTCATTAATATCTGGCAGCAGTACAGGAGGAGGCAGTGTATAATTTGACACCCATAGTTGGCATTTGTCATGATCAAGGCCAGGGCCTATAGTAGTGCGGCCTACAGGCTCTAGGGAGGCCTAGTGGCTCCAAGGAAGCCTGTAGTGGAGTAGTGCATTTCCCAGGCTCACTCTGGACCCTATGACAGGAGATTTTGGAGGGAAAACTAGACCAGCAGGGGAACACAGGGTGGTGCCTGGGAAGAGGAGATAAAAGGCCCAGAGTGGGAGAGTGTTCTCTCTCAGGGACCAGGGCTGGTGGAAGCTGCTGCAAACAGAGGGATCCCTCATCCAAAAAGGGGTGAGTTAGACTGTGAACAGGAACCTAGAGAAGGCTAGGACTGTGTAGACGGATGCATTAGAATTTATTATTTTACTGATTTACCTGCCTTTACTTTGCTCATTTTCCTACTTGTTATTGATCTAAAGTTGTTGTTAAATCTCTTTATAAAACTAGTTGTTACTCTGCCTGGGTCCTCACGCCTCATTTGGTCACATACAAGGGGAAACCTGTTGTAAAAGTACTGTACAAGGGGCAGGGTGGGTGCTCTGGGCCCTCCCAAGGAGACCCATACCAGAGTGGTAGCAGCCAGTAATGAACCTTCCTAGCCGCTGCCCATGACAGCACTCTGGTTGCTCCTGGCTGCCAGTGACCGTCCAGGGCAATGGTCCACAGGAAACTTTCCCTGTAAATTAAATGACCAGAACTTTCTTAAGAAAGGAAATCTTCCTATTTCCAGACATTTGCACCATTACATTTCATATCCATATTCCTGATCAAGTTGTACTCCTGATACATTCAAAAAATTTATCAACTGATTCTGTACAGCAATCTTCAGCAAGCTTTCATGCCCTTGAAGCTTTATTTAATTTGTATTGTATGCTGATAAACCAGATCTGTTGTCAGAAAAACCTAGCCTCTTCTAATTAGTACTTGGAAGGAAGAATGAAAACCCCTTTCAGCCAACCCTTGTAATCACTGTTCTAGAAGTCATATACTCAAATGCAAAAATTTACTTAGCAGATCACTTACGTGAGCATTCATTTATAGGGCTTAGCTGACTACGTTATTGTCTGCACTAGCTGCACGTTGTAGTACAGCAGTGCAGTGGAACATCTGTTCACCAGTAATACAGGATATGACATTTAAAGATATCATTTAACAACCCTAAATATTTCATGTAAATATAAGAATTTTGTGTATGTCGTACTTGCTATTAGGTCCATCATAGGACAATTTTATTATTCCAGTTTAACATTATGTACTGTTAGGGCAATTCTAAGAACACTCTCCTGGGAGTAAACCCCATTGAATAGACCTGATCAGGATTTGCAGTAGACCTCGTTAATATTGCTGTGTGTTAACTTAGTTTTATGATCTGATGCCTTGGTACATGGGCCCTGCCACTATGTAGTATCTAAATATTATAACTGTAGCAGTTTGCATTTCAGTGTATTTATTTCATTCAGACAATTTTGTTCATTAGTGGCAATTACCCAAGACGGCCTTACAGAAAAGGAAAGTCATGTAGTGAGTGCCCAAAAGGAGACACGTGTGAAAATAAGCTCTGCAGTAAGTATAAAACTGATTAATTATTCACTAAAAATTATATTCTCTATCATTATCTGTTTCAATATTTTAAACCCACAGATCTTCGACGTGGTCTCTGTGCTTCACACCCATGGGATCTAGTGCGCACACGCTGGATCGATCGGTGCTGTAGCAAGCTCTTTTAACGGATTTTCACGCCCAGTCCCTCAGGCATGCACAGGAACCCCACCACGCATGCTCAGAGGGGTGGGCACGGATATCCCGCCAGTTCCTTTCTTACCGCCTCGTTGAGTAGACCTCTTCTTCGTCGGTCCGATCGGTTCGCTGTTAGCTTTCGCCTCACAGCTCTTAGGAATTATTTCCAAACTTTCTTTTACTTTCTTTTTTGTTTGTTCTTCAAAAACAGTTTTAAAAAAACTTTGTTTTCTGCTGAGGGGGACTTTACCTCAGGCATTCGGGCTACCCCCCCCCCTCAAAAGTTCCCTCTTCTTCGCTCTTTTTATGGAGAAGAAGTGGGAATTTTTCAATAGGTGCAAGGGTTGCGGTAGCAAACTTGCTCCTCCCGACCGTCATACCCTCTGCATTTTTTGCCTTGGAGAGTCTCATCAGCCAGAGTCCTGTCATCACTGTGTGCGTTTTTCCAACCAAAAGAGAAAAAAACGTGCTGCGCACCTTAAAGTGGCACTGCTTGAATCAGCCCTTGCTCCTGCCACTGCAATGGAGGAGAGACCGTTTACTTCGACAGCTCCGGCATCAAGACCTGCCTCCGATGTCGACCGCCTGACACCGAAGCTCCCGACATCGAAGGCACAATCGTCCGCTTCCACGCCAGTCAAAAAGAAGGCTAACGCAAGTAAGGATCACAAATCCGCTAAGAAGGGCACCTCCAAGTCCCTGAAGGCGGCAAAGAAGGGGAAGGAAGTGGGTGTCTGCACTGGGTGATGCCCCTAAAGTGCCTCCCGCTCCAACGGCAGTATCTATATCGGAGGGCCACGTCCCTCCACCGATACCGACCATCCAACTACTGAATTCCCCCATCCTACAAGTGGAGCGTCCATACTCCGACATCGACACGGTGGAGCTCCTAAGTCACCAAATGGGTGCAGAGCTTTCCCCCTCTCCTTCGACTTTGTCGGCATCGATGATATCAGAGGCTCCCGATGTCGAAACACATCAATACCGACACGCTTATTACAGTGCGCAACATCATCCTCCACGTCTCCATGTCCAATCTGTTGATATCGACGACCGAGATTACAGGGACGGTTCTCACAGACCAGCCATTGCTTTGTCTCCCAGACGTCCACGGTCCAGAAGTCGATCCCCCGAGTCTTCCTGCCCCCTCCACCACTGATATCGTGGGATCAACGTCAGTTGAGGTACCTGTACGGGGCTTATCCACCATCCATGCCGTGCCTCCCACTCTGTCCAAAGATCGAGGTCGCCCCAGAAGTCGAGACTGTCAGCATCTCTGTCGCGTCCTCCTCCAGTCGATCCTCCCCATCATATTCTGGAACCAAGTCGTCCTCCAAACCTTCAGGTCACTCCTGACCCAGTCGTCCCACCTAAACCCATAACTTGTCAAGAGGACACATCGGTCCAAATGCCACAACAAGACTCCTCTGACTTCATGGAAGAAGACTCAGTTACGGAGGCATCTGAGGCTCATACCTCTCCTGACCATAAATCTCCCAACCAGGATGTCGCTGAGGACTTACCCGTATCCCCATCTGACAACCTTACGTCGTACACAGATTTAGTTAAAAGAATGGCCCACTCTTTAGGCCTCTCTGTCATCCAGCAACATCCGCAGGCAACTGATGCCGTTTATGATTTAGTCCAGCTTGATACCTCTTCCACCTTGGCATTGCCCATGTCTTCAGTCCTTCTGCAAGCAGCAAAGGCACCATGGCTAAAACCCTCGTCAGCCCCGTGTCCACGAGACGACTGGACCATATGTATAGAGTCCAAGAGACAGATGCCAAATTCCTATTCTCGCACCCTCAACCAAACTTGATGGTGATAACATCTTCCTCTAAATCCAAGAGGACACATTCCGCACCTTCTGACAAGGAAGGTAAGAAATTAGATGCCTTTGGCAGATGCCTCTACTCCACGGGAGCATTGGGAGTCAAGGCCACTAACTACCTGGCCTGTATGAATAGGTATCAATATACTCTCTGGGAACGGTTCTCCAAACTACTGACCCACCTCCCAAGGAGACAAACTCCAGGCAGCTAGAGTCATCCAAAAAGAAGGCCTGGTACTGGCAAAACAACAGCTCAACATGACTAAGCATGTCCTCGTGGCATCTTCCAGAACCATGGCCTCTGCAATAGCTCGTAGGAAACATTCCTGGCTCTGCAATACCAATTTGCCCATGGATACTAGATCTTATGTGGAAGATCTTCCATTTGATGGCCTGGGACTTTTCAATGCCGTTACTGATTCTACTTTGCAAGAATTAGATAAGAGCATAAAAGCTTCTCGAGCTCTAGGAGTGTCATCCTCTGCAAGGCAACCATACCGACCCCGCACCTGGTCGAGACCCTGGCAGTGACGTACCCCAAGTCGTCAGTCTCCGGACGCACAATAGAGACCGAGAACATCTTCAGGAGGCCAAAAATCCGCCTTCCAGAAACCAAGATTCGGATCCGGGCAACAATCTTCCCGCTCCAAACAGACCTAACCCTCCAAACAGAGTTTTTGACTTCCCAGTCACCGAGTCAGCTCAAACCCGACTGTCACCGTTTCTTCAAACTTGGCGTCACATCACCTCGGACGAGTGGGTACTGTCCATATTGTCCCGAGGCTACAAAATTCAGTTCCACCAGAACCTCAAGAGGAGGTGTCCGTCCTTCTGCAGAAGGGAGCCATCGAACATGTACCACCACACCTCCACAGGACGGGATTTTATTCCCGATACTTCACAGTCCCAAAGAGAGACGGAGGCGTTCGACCCATATTAGATCTAAGGGAACTGAACCGGTTTGTGACTTACCACCGCTTCCGCATGGTATCCCTACAACAAATCATGCCATTGCTTCGGAGACACGTCTGGATGACCACCCTCGACCTCCAAGACGCGTATTTCCACATTACTATCTACCCCTTCCACCGCCAATACCTATGCTTTGCAATTGGTCAACAGCGCTACCAATATACAGCCCTTCCATTCGGCCTATCCAGCACCCCAAGGGTCTTCACAAAGACTATGATTGTGGTTGCAGCTTTCCTCCGTCTCCGGGGTATTTCCATCTACCCATATATAGACGGTTGGCTTCTGGTAGCGCCTTCCAAGAATGCCCTGGTCTCAAACATCAAAGAGACTCTGGCGCTAATGGACAATCTGGGCCTACGAGTCAATCAACAAAAGTCTCAATTGTGTCAGGTCCAACTAATACAGTACATCGGCGCAATACTGGATTCAAAGACATGCATGGCTTACCTGCCCCATGACAGGGCAACAGATATCATTTCCTTAGCCACCGTTGTCCGTACCCAACCCTCTGTCACTGCCTTCCAAATTCAGAGGCTGCTCGGCCTGATGGCTGCAACTACGTCTGTTCTCGTCTTTGCCAGACTCACAACATGTCCCTTACAGCTCTGGTTTATCCGCAACTACGACCTGTCGAAAAACGCACACACCGTCCTCCTATCCCCTCTTCCCAGCACCTAGAGCTCCTCGCTATACAACACGTAGTCACCAGCTTCCTACCTTTAATCACGGGGAAATGTGTCGCGGTCCTCATGGACAACACCACGGCGCTCTCTTATGTCAACAGACAGGGAGGCACTGTCTCCCTACGCCTCTGCAACCTTGCCATACAGTTGTGGGAGCTTTGCATCGCCAACAACATTTTCCTCATGGCCACTCATATTCCCGGACACATGAACGTGCAGGCAGACCATCTAAGTCGAGCAGAACTCAGCCTTCACGAGTGGGGGATGAACCCTACATACCTCCTCCCACTCTTCCGCAGGTGGGGAGCTCCCCAAGTCGATGTTTTTACCACCAGAACCTCGGCTGGACAAGTGGGAGAAATATTGGCTTTCCGTCATGATACACTTTACCTGTCGTTTTTGCCAGACGGAGTCCGCCTCGTTCCGGACGTTTCTTTCCTGCCGAAGGTGGTGTCAGAGTTCCACCTGCAGGCGGAGGTCTTTTCTCCCTGATTTCTTTCCAAATCCAACATCAGCGGAAGACAAGCTATTACACACTTTAGATGTGAAGCGGGCTCTCCTGTTCTACCTCAACAGAACACACCCAACTAGACGAGACTCACAACTCTTCGTCTCTTACGCGTCACCACAGCTGGGTACTCACATCACGGCTCAATGCTTGTCTAAGTGGATTGTGGGTCTCATCCGTCTATGTTACCTGATCGCCAAACAGCCATTGCCTGGCCCTATCAGGGCTCGCTCTTTCGACCTACCATGTTCCAGTTGATGGATGTTCTTTATTTTCACATCCAATTTCAAAACGTTTTTTAAAAGGTTTATTGCATCTCTACCCTCCTGTCAAAACTCCAGTCGCTCCCTGGGACCTTCCTCTAGTTCTACGCCAGCTCACGAGGAAGCCCTTTGAGCCGCTTGCAACTTGTGACCTCAAACTTCTAGCATGGAAAATGGCCTTTTTAATTGTTGTCACCTCAGCTAGACGAGTGGGAGAAATATTGGCTTTCCAGCACGATACACCTTACCTGTCGTTTTTGCCGGACGGAGTCCGCCTCGTCCGCCTCGTCCCGGACATCTCCTTCCTGCCAAAGGTGGTGTCAGAGTTCCACCTGTAGGCGGAGGTTTTCCTCCCTGATTTTTTCCCAAATCCAAAATCACCGGAAGGCAAACTATTACACACTTTAGATGTGAAGCAGGCTCTCCTGTTCTATCTCAAAAGAACACACCCAACTAGACGAGACTCGCAACTTTTTGTCTCCTACGCGTCAGCACGGCTGGGCACTCGCATCACGGCTCAGCACCTGTCAAAATGGATTGTGTGTCTCATCCGTCTGTGTTACCTGATCGCCAAACAGCCATTACCTGGCCCTGTCAGGGCTCATTCTGCCAGGGCTGTCGTGACCTCCACTGCCTTCCTCCAGGGAGTGCCCCTGACAGACATTTGCAAAGCCGCTATGTGGGCCACGCCTAACACCTTCATCAGGCACTACACCCTAAACATCTGTGCAAATACCAATACCACCATGGGACGTCACATTCTGTCTTCAGCTACACAGTAAAAGACCTGCCAGCACCCTCCTCCAGGTAGGCTACTGCGCGCTAATCTCCCATGGGTGTGAAGCACAGAGACCACGTCGAAGATAAACAGGTTGCTTACCTGTAATTGATGATCTTCGAGTGGTCATCTGTGCATTCACACCACCCGCCCTCCTTCCCTGCTGCTGTCAGCTTCTACATTTTTAATAGGTGTTGATTTGCGGCGGTTTGGAGGAACTGGCGGGATGTCCGTGCCCACCCCTCTGGGCATGCGCGGTGGGGTTCCTGTGCATGCCCGAGGGACTGGGCGTGAAAATCCGTTAAAAGAGCTTGCTATAGCACCGATCGATCCAGTGCGTACACACTGAATCCCATGGGAGTGAATGCACAGATGACCACTCGAAGATCATCAGTTACAGGTAAGCAACCTGTTTTTTGTTTAGCTCCAACTGCGGTTCATTGAGTGATGCATTCACACAACCCACCCATCCTGCTGCAACCAGTGCTTTTCACTTGCTGTGGTGCACATGGAAGGAACTGAACAGGAAGGCATGACTCTTCCCCTTCAGGCGTATGCAGTCAGATCTGCATCTCTGATGGGAGGAGGGTTTTCTTGTCTAGCTGCTAGTTCTAGAAGGTTCCAGATCAGCACTCTGCAGGTTCAAAGCCCATCAGGGTGAATACACAGAAGACCACTTGAAGGTCAAGAGGTAAAAGGAAACAAGCTATTTTTACACTGCTACAAGTTTGCAGCTCATAGCTGAATGTTGCTTTTAAGTGATGAGAAAGACTTAATTTGGATGTTTTATTGTGTAATATAAATGTGGGAGAAAGGAAATTTACTTACAAGTAAATGATTGCATTATATGATTTATTGTTCATTTTGGATGACTGAGCTCACAGGAAATATGCTCAAGTTGTTGACATATCACCTGAGAAGAAGAAAAGGACCTGGATAAGATACAATTTAAAAAAATGTTTTGTCAATTCTTGAAACTTTTTGTTTGTTTTACAGGAAATCCTGATCGTGACAAAATCATACGTATGTATTATAGTTCTTTTTCTAGCTTGAATGTTTCAAAACCAAAATGCATAGTTAGTAAAAAGTTTTATTGTATTTTTTAATAGGCTATACACGATGGTATCCATCCTTTGAATATCGGATTGTATGTGACGAATCCTGTATCGCTTTAGCAATTTTAAGACCAACAATAATGTTTTTAGCATTTGGAGTTGTTTACTATTTACAACACCGTTATCCGGGTTTAGGATTGCAACACTAATTGCTTTGACCTGTGTATTTAAAAAAATAATCATTGCTACAGTAGCTAACAGATCACATTTACATAAATGCTAAGATTATTTTATACACTTTGTGTTTAAAAAATAGATTGGTTTATTTCATTGTGTTATGGTACTTTGAATTGTTTCAAATTGTTAAAAATCAGTTGTTCCCTGCTAATGTGGATATTTTTTAAAAGAAGTCAAATAAATATTAATGTGTTTTGTGTACATTGTATTCAGTGGTAAGTGAAAATAATGAATGAATATTTTAAACATAAGAATCTTGATTTGGTATGATTTACAAGGTGTAGACGGATGCAACTGTCCATCAGTAGAAGCTGCTGATAGCTGTTTTCCTGTATCCTCTTACCCCCAGCAGTCCCTTCTGTCCCTGAGAGGGTTTATCTCTGAGATTGTTAAACTCTTGTGGATTAATAGCCATGGAGGTCAGTGGGCCAGAGTGAGGAGGATGGAGTTGAAATCACTGTTCTGCCTCTGGCATTAGCAAAAATGATATTTGCAGAAGAGGGACATGGGAGATTTCACCCCCAATTCCTTCCTCATTATAGCCCCCCTAACCAATATGGTTTTAGTTCAAGGGGGTCCATGATCCTGGAAATCTTTTTTCCTGGTGTCAGAAGAGACTTCTGGTAGGGCAAGATCTGTGATCTTTACATGTATGGATCACTGGATCAACCCTGTAACAATGAATGAATATAGTAATAATAGTTATAACCAGGGGTCATTTGGGGGGGGGACGCGGGGGGACGCCATCCCCCCGGGTGAGGTGCTGGAGGGTGGGGCCTGGAGCTCCCTGCTGGTGCCCGCTGGAGGTCGCCGCCGGCTGTGGGGAGGACACACTTCCGGTGATGTCAGGGGGTGTGGCATATGCTAATGAGTTATGCTAATGAGTCCCCCTAGCTCTTTTTCTATGAAATGACCCCTGGTTATAACCATATTCCACAATGTCACATTTGGCTCAAAATTCTAGATAAAGTTGCTTCCAACTCCAGTTAAGTCAAATATAGTTTAAGATCGTCAGTAATTAACTAGTGTTGTTCCAATTATGAACCTATTTATGGCCTTATCGTGTAAAAAAGTTGTTTTCAGCCATGCTAGCCCAAACGTAAAAGCCCCAAAGCCAAAAACACAATCCATGTACTGCCTTTTAAACCAACCCAGTGACACATAACAGTGTGTAAGCTCTTGAGTTCAGTAGCGCTCTTCATGAAGCCAGATGTTACGAAATCAAAAAGAGGAAAAAAGATATTTCAGTTCATGCCTGTATATGGTAGATCTTCTGGCAGGCAAAGGAGAATCAGGTCTCAAGTTACTGTAGGCCATAAAAGCAAGAGCTAATAAATCAATTAAACTCCATAGTAACAAGTCTTCGTGATATTTCTAACTCTCTCTTACTTTCCTACAACCCATTTACTGTAAGACTGCACAACAAAGCTTTCAAACTAGCCAAACAACAGATAAATACATCTCGTCATATTCAGAAATATCCTAAATATTCTAAAATATAAGCAGGAGCAGTGGCACTTAAATGCCATGCTTGGCTGAGATAGGCAGCTTTGACCAATGAGGCCCAAGCACATATAAAAGACTTGCCTTTTGAAGGGACAGGGTTATTCAGTGAAAAACTGATGATATGCTGAAGAGAATTCAAAGCTTCATTCCATAGCAAAATCAATGGGCTTTTCTCAGACTTACGCATGACCTTACAAGCAACAACCATGGAATAAATTTAATGGATGACGTATATCAACTTCACCAACAGAATGATCTTCAAGTAAGAGATCATACAGCTCATCTACAAAGAAGGCTTTTCGAAGGCTTGAGTTTCACAGTGTACCAAGACCATACCATTGTCTAAGTGGGGTCTTTGACTTGGATGTGGTAGAGAGATCTCAGGCCCCAGTCCTCAGAAAACATCTGAGCGTCTGGGAGGAAATTACAATCACTGGGTACTTACAATAATCAAACTAGATTATGCCATGCAACTAGATCTGTCATCGATGCTTTCAAAGCTACAAGCCCATCACCAGGTGGTTGAGGAGCTATTATAAAAGATGTAATAGAAGGGGTTCCAGTTTCTCAGAGGTTTACTGGTTTGTATTCTAGATATTTTGCAGTTCCAAAAAGAGATGGAAGCAAAACCTAGAATCATAGAGTTGGAAGGGACCTCCAGGGTCATCTAGTCCAACCCCCTGCATACAGCAGGAAATTCACAAATATCTCCCCCCCTCCAGTGACCCCTGCTCCATGTCCAGAGGATGGCAAAAAAAAACAAAAAACACACCTCCAGGATCCCTGGCCAAACTGGCCTGGAGAAAAATTGCTTCCTGATTCCAAAGTTGCGATCAGCATTTCCCTGGGTGTGTAAGAAAGGGCCACAATAACTAAGCACTGGTGCAACCCTTCCCGCCCTCCCTCTCATGATCTGCCTAAGTTCACAGAATCGGCATTGCTGTCAGATGGCCATCTAGGATCGGGGGGGGGGGGTAAACGTGACAAAGAAATTCAGAATGACTTCAATATCCACTGTTCTACCTCTCCCAAGGACAGGCATGTTTTTCATTTCAATAGACCAAAAGGATGTGTATTTTCACGTGTCCATCCACAACACAGACAATATCTTTGTTCTGCCATAGGGAGCATGCACAAGGTTCTACCTTTTGACCTGTCAACTGCTCCTCAGGTATTTACCAAATATATGGCAGTAATGATAGCGTATCGCCACAAGAAGGGTATTGTAGTCTATCCTTACCTGGACGATTGGCTGCTAGTTCATATTTCTGCCCATGCATTGCTTCAGCACCTGCAGATAACACTGCAGTTACTGGATCAGTTGGGGTTAAGGGTGAATGTGAAGAAATCACATTTCAACCCCGTGCAACATCTGCAATTCATAGGAGCAATGTTAGATTCAGTTGCAGGCTGGGCATTCCTACCACGGGAAAGAGCAGAGGGTATCATATCCCTTGTGAGGCAGGTTCTTGCTCAGCAAGAACAAAAGGCAATTATGATTCAGACTTCTACCATAGCAGTAACACCTTGTGCTAGACTGAGGATGAGACCATTGCAAATGTGGTTTCACAAGGTGCTCAGCCCACAAATTCAGAAGCTGATCTGTATACATCAAAGTTAGTGCAACACTCCCTTCTTTGGTGGCTGAATCAGGACAATCTGTTAAGAGGCACCACATTCATCAAGACATCACCTCAGGTTACACTGACAACAGATACATCACTTTGGGGATGGAGAGTGCATTGCCAGGGACATTTGGTGAGCCAGGCTTGGAATCACAAAGAGGCTGCAATACACAGCAATGTATTGGAGCTTCTTGCAATATTCAAGGTGATTCAGGCTTTTTCTCCAATCATCGGGCAAGTCAGTTCAGGTGGTGATGGACAGCATCTCATTGGTGTATTATATCAACAAGCAGGGAGGAACTCATTTGCCTACACTGTGCGACCTTGCATGCAGTCTGTAGGAACAGTGCATGCAATACAATGTCCGTATCTTGGCAGTTCATGTCCTAGGGAAACAGAACACATTAGCAGATGCATTAAGCAGGCAAAGATATGTGGCCCATGAATGGTCTGTGGAGAACAGGGTCCTGACAAAATTGTTTGCTCATTAGGGAACACCAAAGGTAGACATGTTTGCTTTGATGACAAATTATAAATGCCCGTGTATTACACAAGAGGGGGTGGGGAGAGATTCAAAAGGGGATGCATTCACAGTGAAGTGGGCAGGAGAATTGTTTTACATGTTTCCACCTGTGCCCATGATGTTGAAAGTGCTTCACAAAATAAGGGTAGACAGGAGCAATTGCATTCTAATTGCACTGTTCTGGCCAAGACAGATGTGGTTACTGACTCTACTACACATGGCAAGGGGTCGGTATCTGCCTCTTCTGAGAAACATGGATTTACTATTTCAGAAGGGAGGAAAGATACTGCACCCAGATGTGGCCAAACTGCATCTGACAGCATGGAGAATCACTTAGCTTTTTGGCCAGATCACATACAGGAAGTGTTGGATAATGCAAGAAAGCCATTGACTAAGAAATTGTATGATGCTAAATGGATGTGTTTTGTAGTATATACAATGGGTCGAGGTTTGGATCCAATGACCTGCTCCATAATGAACCTGTGTGAGTACTTCCTAAACCTACGAACTGAAGGTTTAGGCATTTCCTCACTGAAGGTTCACTTAGCAGCCATTTCATCATGTTATTTTAAGGTGGATGGTCACTCTGTGTTATCTCATCCATTGATGAAATGGTTTTTTAAAGGTATAGTTGGAACTCCCCCCCCCCAAGTTTAATTTCCCCTTGGAATTTACCATTAGTGTTATTAGTTTTAATGAAACCGCCATTGGAACCTTGGGTACTTGTAACATAAAGCTGCTGTCTCTAAAAGTGTCATTTTTAGTTACAATAATAACTTCAGCAAGGGCAGGAGAGTTGTATGCATTGTGAGCTGATGCTCCTTACATAGTTTTCCACGCAGATAACTTTAGATATTAAAAGGGCTTTGGTTTTTTATATCGATAGAACCCTAGCTTTCCATAAGGATCCACATCCTTCTGTCTGCTAATGGGACCATAGAAAGGGTTTAAAGGTTTCATCTCAGCGTTGGAGTAAGACTTTGACTTTGAGTAACTGGATTGTAGAACTGATATCATTGTGTTACACTATCACAAAGAAGCCACTGCCACAGACTATCAGAGCTCATTCAACATGGACAACTGCGACATCCTTCGAGCAGAGTCTCCATACCAGATCCTTGTAAGGTGGCCACAGGGACCCATTCCTCAACATTCAGAAGACATGCAATGGATGTTAGAGCAAGGAGAGAAGCAGCATTTGGAAAAGCTCTTTTAAACTCGTTTTCATAAATAGGTTGCACAGTGATTCATGTTTTGTTTTTGTTACTAATAAAGTTTACTTAGCATAACTTCACCTGTTCCCACCTTCAGTGTTTTA